ATCACGTCCTGGATGAGAGCAAACTTTCTTCAGCTAAATGTCAACAAGACCGAGGCTCTCCTGATTGGCTCCCGTCAGCGCCCCTCACCTCAGGCGCTGACAGCATCACCATCCATGGTTGCACACTCCACCTTATGAAGCCAGTTCTGTCCTTGAGGTCTTGTTTTACCCTCAACTATCCTTTCTACACCACATCTGCACCATGACCGGCTCTGCCTTCCCCCACCTACGCAACGTCACGCGGCTCTGCCAATGTCTCACACCGCAGGCCGCCAAAACTCTCATACATGCCTTCATTACATTGAGGCTCGATTATGCAAACTCACTGCTTGTCGGCCTCCCCAACTCCTCTCTCCACAGGCTGCAGATTATCCAGAACTCTACAGCCCATGTCCTTTCCCGCACCAGGCTCCACGACCCTATCACCCCCATGCTTGCTCAACTCCACTGGCTTCCCATCACTCAGAGGATACAGTTCAAGATCCTGGTCCTCACCTTCAAAGCCCTCCACGGTCTTGATCTCCCTAGCTCTGCAACTTCCTAACCCTACCATCCTGTCGCTCCCTCCGCTCAGCGGGCTCTGGCCTGCTTCATGTCCCCCATCTTGCTCGCCCCACTATTGGCGGGCGGGCCTTCCGCCACTCTGCACCCACCCTCTGGAACTCCATCCCGCATTCCCTCCGCCTTGCCCCCTCCCTCCTCACCTTCAAGACCCTCCTTTTCTACCATGCTTTCGATCTCCCGCTTCCTCCCCGCCCTCCAGCCTCCCCCTCCCACCCACCCACCCACCCTCACATCTACCCCCAGCTCAGGTCCGTAACTCTTGTCTGTCCAGTGCCTTGGGACGTCCTCCTGATGTAAAAGGTGCTTTACAAATGTAATTTTGTTGTTGTTGTTTGTGTATTGTTGTTGTGTATCTCTCGCTGCACCTCTCTCTGTGGCTATGTGTACCTCTCTGTGTGCATCTCTTTCTGTACCTGTCTCTCTCTGCGTGTCCCTCTTTGTAACTTTTGGTCTCTCTCTGTACCTCTGTGTCTCTGTCTGTATCTTTCTCTGTCTCTCCATGTGTGTATTTCTCTGTTCCTCTCTCTCTCTCTCTGTATCTCTCTATATCTGTGTATCGTTCTCTCTGTACCTTGCACTGTGTGCTATCTTTCTCTCTTACCTCTCTCTCTGTATAACTCTCCCTGCCTCTCTTGTTTATCTCTCTGCCTCTCTGTATCTCTCTGCCTTTCTCTGTATCTCTCTTTGTATATCTCTCTCTGCATCTCTCTCTCTCTGTATATCTCTCTGACTCTCTCTGTGCCGATCTCTCTCTATGCCTCTCTCTCTCTCTGTATTATCTCCCTCTCTCTGTCTGTATCACTCTCTCTCTGTCTGTATCTCCTTCTTTCTCTGTATATCTCTCTGTGTATCTCTGTATCTCTCTCTGCATATGTCTGTGTATTTCTCTCTCTGTATATCTCTCTCACTATCTCTGTATCTATATCTCTGTATATCTCTCTCTGTATACCTCTGTATATCACTCACTTTCTCTGTCTCTCACTCTCTCTGTCTCTCTCACTCTTTGTATCACTCTCTGTCTCTCTCACTCTCTCTGTCTCTCTCACTCGTTGTATCTCTCTCTGTCTCCCTCACTCTCTCTGTATCACTCTCTGTCTCTCTCACTCTCTGTCTCTCTCACTCTCTCTGTATCACTCTGTCTGTCTCTCTCACTCTGTCTGTCTCTCTCACTCTGTCTGTCTCTCTCACTCTCTGTATCTCTCACTCTCTCTGTACCTCTCACTCTCTCTGTACCTCTCACTCTCTCTGTACCTCTCACTCTCACTGTCTTTCTCATTCTCTCTGTATCACTCTCTGTCTCTCTCACTCTCTCCGTATCACTCTCTCTGTATCACTCACTCTCTCTGTATCACACTCTCTGTATCACTCTCTCTGTCTCTCTGTATCACTCACTCTCTGTATCACACTCTCTGTATCACTCTCTCTGTCTCTCTCACTCTCTCTGTCTCTCTGTATCACTCACTCTCTGTATCACACTCTCTGTATCACTCTCTGTATCTCTCACTCTCTCTGTACCTCTCACTCTCTGTCTCTCTCACTCTCTCTGTCTCTCTGTATCACTCACTCTCTGTATCACACTCTCTGTATCACTCTCACTGTCTCTCTCACTCTCTCTGTCTCTCTGTATCACTCACTCTCTGTATCACACTCTCTGTATCACTCTCTCGGTCTCTCTCACTCTCTCTGTCTCTCTGTATCACTCACTCTCTGTATCACACTCTCTGTATCACTCTCTTGGTCTCTCTCACTCTCTCTCTCTGTCTCTCTGTATCACTCACTCTCTGTATCACTCTCTCGGTCTCTCTCACTCTCTCTCTCTGTCTCTCTGTATCACTCACTCTCTGTATCACTCTCTCGGTCTCTCTGTATCACTCACTCTCTGTATCACTCTCTCTGTCTCTCTCACTCTCTCTGTCTCTCTGTATCACTCACTCTCTGTCTCTCTCACTCTCTCTGTCTCTCTCACTCTCTCTGTCTCTCTGTATCACTCTCTCTGTCTCTCTGTATCACTCTCTCTGTCTCTCTGTATTACTCTCTCTGTCTCTCTGTATCACTCTCTCTGTCTCTCTCACTCTCTCTGTCTCTCTCTCTGTCTCTCTGTATCACTCTCTCTGTCTCTCTGTATCACTCTCTCTGTCTCTCTGTATCACTCTCTCTGTATCACTCTCTCTGTCTCTCTGTATCACTCTCTCTGTCTCTCTGTATCACTCTCTCTGTCTCTCTCACTCTCTCACTCTCTCTGTCTCTCTGTGTCACTCTCTCTGTCTCTCTGTGTCACTCTCTCTGTCTCTCTGTGTCACTCTCTCTGTCTCTCTCACTCTCTCACTCTCTCTGTCTCTCTGTGTCACTCTCTCTGTCTCTCTGTATCACTCACTCTCTGTATCACTCTCTCTCTCACTGTCCCTCTGTCGGTGACGCTGCCGTTGGGTCACGTGTCTGGCGCTCGGGCTGTTGCCGGAAGTGCTGTTTCCCGGCATGCCGCAGTGATTCCGGGCGGCGGTGCGGGAGCGATGGCGGCTCTTCCTGCCGGAGACCCCAAACTCGTCTCTATGATCGTCAACCACCTCAAGAGCCAGGGCCTGTTTGACCAATTCCGCCGCGACTGCCTGGCGGATGTGGACACCAAGGTAACCAGTCACACAGGCAACCCCGAGAGAGAGAGCGGCCCGTAACCACCTCCACCCCCACACCTCACACACAGCGGCCTGTAACCACCTCCACCCCCACACCACACAGCGGCCTGTAACCACCTCCACCCCCACACCTCACACAGCGGCCTGTAACCACCTCCACCCCACACACACACACACAGCGGCCTGTAACCACCTCCACCCCCACACCTCACACAGCGGCCTGTAACCACCTCCACCCCCACACCCCACACACAGCGGCCTGTAACCACCTCCACCCCCACACACACACACACAGCGGCCTGTAACCACCTCCACCCCCACACCACACACAGCGGCCTGTAACCACCTCCACCCCCACACCTCACACACACAGCGGCCTGTAACCACCTCCACCCCCA